ATACAGCACAGATAATTCTTATTTTTAATGCTAAAGCTATAGTTATGAATGTGTTGGGCTGAAGGAATGCCAAACGTACCACTTTTTTATTATTGTTTTGGGGAAAAGGGATTAAGAGACATTGAGGAAAGGAATCTGTATTATGTAAGAGCTGTAAGAGAAGATAAGTGTCACTGGAAGCAGATCTGAGAATCTGTAAGCACAAGTTGGCAAGCATTATCTTAGGCTTTTAGTAGACTTGCTTGGCCAGTGTCTTTCTGTGAAAATCCTCATATGGCAACACTAATTTCATAGCACAAGTTTTCTGGTGTATGTCTGTTCACTTCCATGTCAGCTGCAAGCAGAGAGATTGCAGAAATCCACGCTGGTGTCATGGTATGAGATTTAGTTATTGTTTTTCTTTGCAATGTGAATAAGAAACTCCTTGTTATTGGGCTGAGTTTCCAAAACTGATAAGTGATTTGATGGGCTTCAGTTTCAGGGAAGTGTGGAACCTCCTCACTGTTAAAAATCAGGTTTCCTAAAGTTAAAGTTGTATCTTTTCAAATGTAAAATATGAGTGTGAACCTTCCTTTACAAAGCAGCTAATAGGGTCAAGTGAACTGCACTATGTGCAGTTTGAAAATGGTGATTTTTTAGCCTCTGACTCCTGTACCCACATGATCAGTTTAGACATCAGGGCATAACTGATATTAAACCTGGGAATCATTTAAAACAAACAAGAAAAGCCTTGCCTCTACAGTGGCATAATTTCCTACAGGGTATTAAAGGAAATGGCTTTATGTAAGAAATTACATTTCTGCCATTCATCACAGAAGAGTAAAGCAAAAATTAATTTTTTGTGTAATGTCACAGAAAAATTATTTTTTCTATTTACATATCTAACCATTAAGAATCTTGCAGTGACAAATACCTTAAATTACAGTAAATCTATTTTTAAACTTTAATTTTCTCCAAAGTGCCATGATATTTACTATTATTTTTCATTGTTAAGCATACAGAAACTGTCATAAATATTCAGAAGGGACATTAGGTGTAAACAGTCCAGTGCAGTAGCTTTTGTTTTTTGGAGAACGTGTCTGCATCAGAAGCATGATGTATTTATGTGGAGTAACCTCTTTTTTGTACACGAGTTGGATTCCTATGGGTGCTCTGCTAGTTAATATTGTCGCTACTATTTTCCTGTTTCATGTGGAATATCGTCTTGAACGTTGTTGTGTAATCATTTCCTTTATTTGTGCACACTTTTTATGTTAAATAAAACATTTATATTCAACCTCCGTGTGTTAAAATCTCAGAGAAATACTGTGAAATGCTGGTCTTGGGATCATCGTCTAACCCTTTTAAACTGTCCATATCCCATGGGAATCTTGTTCTGATCTTTTCATTTCTTGTAGAAAATTGCACTGGGATGGGCCACAGCAACCCAAGAAATGCCTTTCTTACCCTGCATTTACCAAACATGTCTGAGAATGCAGGTTCTGCTCCAGCATCATTCCCTAGCCTCATGCTCATCTAGTCCTTTGGAAAAACACCATCCTTGTAGGTTCTTTCCTTCCAACACCAGTGATGAGACAAAGCAGTGAGGCATCCATCCTCTGCACAGAGATAGAAATCTTAAAGGAAAATACAAAATGTTACTTTAGCCTGCTCATCCAAGGACTCTTTCAGCGCTGGAGTTCGTATGTCATCTCAGCTGCCAGAGCTGGGATTTGGAGTTCAGAGCAACGCTCTTGTCTGCTGCACTTACTTCTGCATGATTTATTTCTTTGTTTCTTCAACTCCCCTGCATTCTGGGATTTCTGACACAGAGGGTGATGGCACAGATGCAGTGGTTTAATTTCTGTATTTCAGTATCTTTTAAAAGAGATTTTGTCTTGCCTCAGCACGGGTGTGCTTCGGCAATCCTGGCGAGTGCTGCAGATGGCTGCATATCTTCCATGCTTAACCTCCCCCCACGCACGCTCCCTGTTTCTGTTCTGTTGGGTGCCCAGCTGCTCTCGCCTCAGTCTGAGCAATTGTTTATGCTGAGGCACTCTATGGAGGAAGCTGATAGCTTGGATAATCTATACATACACTCGGTAAGTGCTAAGCAAGCGTCCTCACTTCAGCATGGATGGTGTAAGGCATCGAAGCAGCAGAGGTAGCTGCAACTGACCACAGAATTATGTTTTCCTGGGAAGAGAGAAGGTAGGGGTTGGAGCCCCTTTGAGAAAAAACAGATTTTACCATATCTTGCATTTTTTCGCAGAGAGTTCCCCCATGTGTTTATTTTAATTTTTTTTTTCTGCTTATAATAAAGGGATCTGGACTGAATACTTGAAAGGTGGATTCTTACCATTTAATCACCAATAATTGAAGGCAGAGCAGTGTCTACATCCCAGGTCTGTGCAGCTTTTGTGGGAGGTGGCTTTTCCAGGCATAAATAGCAGGAATCTCTTGTGTCCATGTTTCATTTCTAAGGATGAGTAAAGTGTCTGGGCTTATACTCTTAGATCAGAGGAATAGTTCAAGTCCTTCATGAGCTGAAGTGTTTTGTGCACTGTCCCCACTGTGACTTGTCCAGCAGGATGTGGTGTCTGCCAAAATCTATCAACTTTTTCTGCTTAAAACACAACCTGTAATACAATATCTGTTTTGCAAGAATGAAACCTCCTATGACAGATTAGCTAAGTGTGAACTGTTACAAGTTACTATTAAACATGACTACTAATTTTTTTTCTTTAAAAAGTACGATATCATCTCATCAGAGACGAAAATGCATGGTCTTTGTTCACAGTTAAATTGTGCTCTCCAGGGCATAGTTCATAGTTAAATTGTGTATCTTCAGGGACTGTGCATCAGGGAAGTTTGTGAGCTTCCCCAGAGCCTCAGCATTTCTTTAAAATTCAGACACTTTATTAATCAAATCAAGATTCCTCCTGTGCTATTAGTGCACTTTATTACCACTTGCAAAGGTCTGTAACTCAGGTTTTAGTTATGCAGTGTCTTCAGAACTGCTTTTCACAGTCCACAGTAGAAATAGGCAGAGCTAACACCTTTTTTTAGACAATCCTCTACCTACAAACTTTGTCTTCCATCGCCTGATTATTGTAGCTCTATAGCAACACTATCATTACAGCACAATAGTTACCAGGCTTTGTAACCTGAAATGGAACATTTCTGCGGCAGAACTTGAAAAAAATCAACAAATTACACAATGCCACTGGATCCTAAGCTTCCATGACATCAGCACGTCTAATAAAAGATGAAATATCTGCCTACATATGCTGCCTTCCTCACAGACATTGATCAATCCAGCTGCAATGTTAGACATTACATTTTCTTCAGTAAATTTGAAAGGGATTGTGACATAGTGCATTTCACTGATTGGTATTCAAAGAGGCTTTTTTTAAAACAATCAGGTCATAAAGTCCAAGAGGGTGAAGCAGACAGGAATGTCTAGAATGTCTATACAATTCCCTCATAGGTTCATACCTTTTCAGAATCAGCTCCAAAAGCTGGTGCATTCAGAAATCTTGTTTATTTCTGCCACATTGTTGTGGCTTTTAAACAGACCTTATATCTGCTTAATAAATAAGTAGTGGGTGTTAGTATTCTTTGCAAAAACGTTTACTTTTCTATAAAACCCTGATGGTTTGGCTTGGAAAAGGCCTTAAAGATCACTCAGATCCAACGAAATTGTAGATATTGTTGCAGACACCGCAACCGATGCGGTGGTTTGAGCGCGAGTTAAGAGGTGACTGCTGAAGCAGCTTTGAAGTGATGCTCAAGAGCCTCTCCATCAGCGACCCCGCCCAGCCCAGAGGAAACCTGAGCATATCAAAGGTGCGAAATCAAGGATTAAAGAGCACCAAACGCCTCTGTCAGCAGATCAGCGGGGCAGGTTCTGTGCCATAATCCTCCTGGGACGGCATTAGGGAACGGCGCGGAAGGGATCAGGGATCCCGCCGGCCGGTGCGAAGCGGTGCCTGGTGCTTGTACAGCTGCCCCGTTTTCATGTGCCGTGCTTTTGTACTCGCATCAAAATATGTAACTGTGTGGGATGAAAGGAAACGGCAAATTGGATCGCGCCGTAATCCCAGCTGAAGCGCTGTCTTCACAAAGATGTAAACTGAAAAGCTTTGGGCCTCTTGCAGGCGGAAGAAACTTGTAATACATGAACGAGCTGTACAGCGACTAAGCTGTCCCTGAAGAGCATCTTCCCCGCCTCTCCGCGGTTCGATCGCTTCGTTTCCCAAAATATCTCCCGCGAGCCCGTGGCTGGAAGGAGCGGTCCGTGCCACGGCTTCGGGGCCCCTCACACGGGCCCGCCTTCCCCGCGCCTGCCCGCCCGAGCACAGCCCGCCCTCCTGGGGACCCTCGCTGGGGACAGCACTGTGAGACCCCTGCCCGGGACGCTCTGTGGGGGACAGTCACTCGAGGGCTTTCACTGAGGGACCATCTTTTTGAGGGGCAGTCAGTGAGGGATCCTCTGCGGGCGCCTCGCTGCGGGGCAGTCACTAAGGGGCGGTCACGGAGATCCCCCCGCTGGCGGCCTCTGCCCGGGGCCGCCGCCGCGCCTCAGGCGGGCGACACGCCCGACGGGTCCCCGACAGCGCCCGGCTATTCCCCTGCTGCCATGGCCGCTTCCCTTCCCCGCCCCAGCTGCAGCTGCCTCTCCGTCCCGTCCCTCAGCCGGCCCCTCTCGGCCGCCGACGGCGGAACGGCGGCAGGGCGGCGCGGGGCAGGCTCTGACCGGGCGGGCTGCGGGGAAGCCGGGCAGAAACAACACTTTTCCATGCGTATTCACTTTTTAGTGTCTATTACACAAAGATCTGTTTTATTTTTTATTTCTCCTCCTGCGCCTTCCCCGCGGGCGGCGGCGGGGGGAAGGCCCGGCCGGGTTTCCCGGCGCTGAGGCGGCGGCGGGCGGGGGAGGGGCGGGCGGGCGCTCCCGCCGCTGCCCCAGACAGTGGGCGGGGCCGGCGCGCGCCGCCGGCGGGTTCGTGCCCGCGCGCCGCCGCCGCCGCCGCCGCCGTCTCGGTCTCCGCAGTGAGGTCACGGGTGGGCGGCGCGAGCGCGGCGCCTGTTCCGCTCCCCGCGGCCGCCGGAGCCCCCGCGGCGCCGGGTGAGCAGCCGGGAGCTCGCTGGGAACGGCGGGGAGCGCGGCGGCGGAGCCCTGGGGGGAAGGGCGGGAGCGTCCGCCGGGGGATGGGAGGGAGCGGCGGCGCGGGGGCGGCGGGGAGAAGGGGAGCGGGGTACCGGCGTTGGGAGGAGGGGAGGGACACGGGGGCGGCGGAGCGGCGCGGTACGGCCGGGGACGGCGGGGAGCCGGGCAGGGCGGAGGGGCGAGCCCGGCGGCGGGAGGGGGAAGGGCTGAGCCCGGAGCGGTGCCGGCGGGGCCGGGGTGAGTCACGGCGCGGGAGGGAGCGGCGGCGTGCGGCGTCCCGGGAGGGGCCGCGGGGCGAGGGGTCGGTGCCCGGGATGTGGGGGCCGGTGCCCGGCTCGCCGGAGCGCCCGTTCCTTTCGGGCGTGCACGCCGGCAGAGCCGCTCCGGACCGCCCCCTCCCCCGCCGGTATCGCTCATCGGTCGGGGGCTTGTCCCGGTGTTCCGCAAGTTACTGGGAAATGCACCCTGCCTCTGGCAGGCAATCCCGGTGGTTTGGGCTGCAGGGGGCCTTAAAGCTCATCTCCTTCCAGCCCCCCCACCCCGCCATGGGCAGGGACACTTCCACTATCCCAGGCTGCTCCAAGCCCTGTCCAACCTGGCCTTGGACACTTCCAGGGATGGGGCAGCTGCAGCTTCTCTGTGCAGCCTGTGCCACTACCTCACTGCTATCACAGAGAACAATTTCTTCCTTGTATCAAATCAAAACCTTCCCTCTCTCAGTATAAAGCCATTCCCTCTCGTCCGCTGACTCCTGTCACACTTTCACCTGTGTCAAAAGTCCCTCTCCAGTCCTTTTTACCCCTTTAGGTACAGAGCAAACTCTGGGATTGCTTGTGATCAGCCATCTCTCTTTCACAGGTTATCAGGAAGGACGAGCAGAACTCTGTGCTAGCACACGACATGCATCCAGCCCATGGCCTGGATCTCACCTCTATTACTAATAACTTGGGCTGGGAAAATTCTGACACACGCCAGTGACATCTGGGCGAAAGGTGACTCTCTAGGGACGTTTAGTTTTTGCCGTTGGTCTGGATCAGCCTTTAATTTTAGGATTTATTTGTGAACTGCCATAATAGCTGTCACGGTGGTGGTGGTGAAATCATAAAGCTGGCAGCACAATAAAGCAAGCCCTTAAGATTGTGTTTGATCTCTGGGAGCTAAAAGTGCTGAATAAAATTTTCATACAACGTAAACTACGTTTTGGATCAGTTTCGTTGAGATTGACATTCTTCTAACTGAGCCCATTTTTCTATTTTATTATTTAAATAGAGACTTATTTGAAAAGACAGTATATTTTTTAAAGGAAAAAAAAACGATTGAGGATGAACACCCATCAACGCATCGTTTTTTATTAAATTGCTGAACAAGACTACTGTGTAAAGTAGTGGCTAGGGTATGAAGAAAACCTTTTGTATACATATTGCATTGGGGTTTTTATATTATGAAATTTAACAAATAGCTAAGAAAATAGTGTAACCCCCTTCGTTAGTAGTTTTACAGAATTACATACAAAATGGGTTACAATTTTTACTGTTGAATGCTGAAGAAGATGTTTTAGGGAAAGGAGCGTGCAGCTCCAAGATCACATGAAACTATTTTTTATATAAAAAGTAAGAAAATGCACATTCAAGACTGGCTTAATTAAAGCTCAGTGTTCAGCAATGGAAAGCCCACAGATAAACTTCCCTCTAGGTCTGGTTTCAGACCAAAAAAGAAGCAGGATCCAAGAGGATGGGAGTCCTCCACTGAAAAAAGCAATGACTGAAATGCATGTAAATAACAAAGTACAGGTAGTAATAAATAAATTGCCAACAATAAAGAAGGAAAACCTGGATGACTATGATGAAGCTCCGGTGGAGGCTGATGCGGAAACCGCCAAGCCAAACAGTGCTTCACTATCTGAGCCTTTGAGTTTAAATCCAGGTTTGAAACACACGTTGGCACAGTTCCACCTAAGCAGCCAGAGTTCACTGGGTGGACCTGCGGCTTTCTCAGCTCGGTATTCCCAGGAAAGTATGTCACCCACTGTCTTCCTGCCTCTCCCATCACCACAAGTCCTCTCTGGTCCGCTGCTCATCCCTCCAGACAGCTCCACGGAGCTCACGCAGACCCTGCTGGAGGGGGAATCCATCTCTTGTTTTAAAGTCGGAGGAGAAAAAAGACTTTGCCTGCCTCAAGTATTGAATTCGGTTCTCCGAGACTTTTCCTTGCAGCAGATCAACACGGTGTGTGATGAGCTCTATATCTACTGCTCAAGGTGCACTTCTGACCAGCTGCACATTCTGAAGGTTTTGGGAATTCTTCCGTTCAACGCTCCGTCCTGTGGGCTCATTACGCTGACGGACGCTCAGAGACTATGCAATGCTTTACTGCGCCCTCGCACTTTCCCCCAAAGTGGCGGTTTCCTCCCTGGTAAGAACACCTTGGCCCAGCTGAAAGAGACTGGCAGTGCCTTCGAAGTAGAGCATGAATGCCTGGGCAAGTGCCAGGGGTTGTTTGCACCTCAGTTCTACCTTGCCCCGGATGACCCGTGTATCCAGTGCTTGGAATGCTACGGGATGTTCTCACCCCAGACCTTCGTGATGCATTCACACAGATCCCCAGACAAGAGGACCTGCCACTGGGGGTTTGAGTCGGCCAAGTGGCACTGCTACCTGCACATTAACCAAAAATACCTGGGCACATCAGAAGAGAGAGAGCTGAAGCATCTCTTGGAGGAAATGAAGGAGAAATTCAGTGAGAAAAATCAGAAAAGAACTCGGTCCAAAGTAAGTTCACCTGGTGTAAAATTCCCAGATCTCTTTCTGCTCGCACATAAATACTTGTTTTAGAAGCGCATTACTTGGCTTTTCTAAGTGGGAATACTTGTCACATCAAGCCTAAGTTAAATCTGTGTGAGCTTCACCATGGAAATAACATTTCTCATTAAGAGAGGTGGTAATTTCTTTCCTCTTTGGGCTGCAAGTAACCATTTGAGGTGGCTTGGCTTTGTTGGTTCTTGTTCTGTCCTAAAGTATACAGACTCTGGAAAATTCAGGCTATTGTGAAAATTTTCATTCTCCCGTTTGACCTTTGAGTAGGTTTTAATGCAGCGTGTGCTGCAGCAGCTGAGCAAAGCAGAAAGGAGCTTGAAAATCAAGCATTACAAATGAATTCTTCATTTGTTGTTTGTACTCCAGCATGCACACGTGGGCTGGATGGCAACCTGGCTTGCTGGCCACCCATCTCATGACTTGTGTGCAGGGTAATGGTGCTTAGCTAAATGGCTATTTAGAAGCCCAAAGTCTGCTTGTTCAGCAAGAGCTTTCTGTTTAAACCACTTGTGCAGTGAAATATGCCAAAAAGAGGGGGTTTTAAGCAGCCCAAGTAATGAGCTGTGGGCCGGTATCTTGACAATAGTTAATAATAGACATCTTATTTTTTCCTAAAATACTGCTGCAAGTCTGTGCTGTGGTTCCAAAATACAGAGCTTATTTGTCCCTTGGAGAGCTTCTACTTTAAATAATAGGACAAGTAGCAGAGAAACATTAATATCGTAGATGTTCCCATTCATAGAAAGCACAATTTTGGGGTATAATTTAAACTTTTAATGGTTTCTGCCCCATGACAGTTTCTTTTCAGTGTATTCAGTGTTTCTGTGTCTGTTTGATGGCTGCTGGTTTGATGATAAATCCATGTTGCCTGTTGGATGTTTTGTGGTGGATTTCAAAATAGCAGCAAGAGCAGTGCAGATGGTTGAGCCCAAAAAGGGGTGCTATGAGCTGACACCTTTCAGCACAAATTTCTGAAAAGTTGGTTTTGCAGGAAGGCTGATGGTAGTAACAGGTATTGTTACAGTGGTGCCAGTCTGCAGGAAGATATTTTACCAGCAGATTCCCATGGAAGTCTGCAGTATGGCATGCTTCCACATGCTGAATTATTTGAAGATGCAGTCTCCTAGCAAAGAGATTTTGCTTTTCAACTGATAAAGACATGTCAGTCTTTATTCTTGCAATGCCAGTGTAGGAAATGGACTACAGCATGGTGGATACATCAGTGGAAATAGTTTTCCATGTTCACACCTATAAGTGCTGCTTCTCTTCCCACAGCAGCACATTTCAGACAATGAGATCTTTCAGTTTCATGTGCAAAGATGAAAAAACCCAGCTGGAAAGAGCAGTGGCAGTAATTTGGACTGGACTGGTGCAAATGAAATTGTAAAACTTTCTGTGGTCTTGTGTTGCAGACCCGTGTAATTCTTTCTTACAAAGCAACATGTGAAACCAGAGTCAGAAGCTATGAAAACCTGAGCTAAATACAGCGGTGGGGGAGGTTTTGGTTTTTTTTTCATCCTGTGTATATTCATCTGGGAAGTATGAAAGAGTAAAAGAGTTTAAGAGGGCAGTACTGGGGTAGAGTTTCCCTTTTCTTTTCCTGAGGGAGCTTAGGCTGCTTCAGAGAATCACAGAATAGTTTAGGTTAGAAGGGACCTTAAAGATAATTTCATTCCACCCCCCTGGCCTGGATGGGGACACCTTCCACTAGCCCAGATTGCTCACAGCTCCATCCAGCCTGACCTTGAACATCTCCAGGGATGGAGCAGCCACAACTTCCTTTCCTCATTTCTGTGTTGTGGGAGAAGTATCAGGTACAGCACATAGACATTCCCTTTCCTTACACTCCTAGGGGAATTTATTTGCAGGATGTTCTGTTTGCTGTTCTGTCACCTCCTCACCACCTTTGCTGAGTCAGTTCACAGCAATGCTGACACATCCTTTGTGGTTGTCTTGGACCCAGGAGGAACAGTTGCCCTTGGCTAGGTCTTTCCCCATGTAGTAATAATGAATTAATTAAATCCCATAGTCTTCGGAGCATCCTAGATGCCATGCTTTGCCTTTCTCCTTAACATTTCACTCTGAGTTTATTCACCTCACAGTGCAAATACACTTTTGTTTCAATATTTTAAGAGCAAAGTACTCTTGAGATAAATTCCTTTCTGTTCTTTGTGCTAACAAGAAAGCTGTGTGCTTGACTGTCATAATTTTCTGTGGAGTTCTGGACTGCAGTGCAACATCCACCTGCTCTTCATGGAACAGCTGTCACTGAGTCTCTGCTGATTCCTGGCTGAGAGATCCTTGTTCCCTTTGACTTTGCGACAGTTTCTCATCATCTCTGCACTAAAACTTTGCCTTGCTGATTCCTTGAGCTGATCCTGGTCACAGTATTGGAGTTTTATAAATCCAGTCTGTGCTAAAACTACTGGCTTAATGATTGCACTGAAACCATTACTTACCTATATATTTTTTTTCCTTAACAGCTTTGTCCAGCTAGCCTTAAAGAAAAATAAATATTATTTCATGTAACCCTTTTAAACAGTTTGAATAGAAGTAATTCAATTCAACTTGTTGTGTTTAAAGAATTATTTAAGAGCATCTAAAATAAATGAAATGGGTAATGAAATAGACATACATACAAACATATATATACATATATATATACATACACATACATATATATACATATACATACATACATACATATATATATGTGTGTGTGTGTATGTATATGTGTATGCCCTGTTTCATTTACCTGAATGGTGAAGGAAGAATCCTGTTAGAAAAAGACTTCATTTATTTATGGTAGTATTTAATTTTCTTTCCTAAGTAAAAATTTGATTGCATGCTGTGAAAGTCATTTGCATGATTCACATTAATGGGTAGACAGTTTCCACTTGAAATAGGAAAAAAAAAAAAGGTCAAAAATCTGACCTAGTAATTTGAAAATACAGATGACCTGATAATTTCATATGTAAATATATAAGCATGTTAAAATGTGAGTCCTGAAATATGGACAAATGTGATGTGAAGCTAAAATCAGATCTCTGCATACAAGCTGCAGTATAAGTAGATTATATGTGATTATTTAAATTATTAGAATGATCTGAGTAAGTAGAAAAAACTTGGCAAATGTCAGGATGAAGCCATTTTTCTAGAGATTATTCAAATCTTTTTTATTTAAAGCCTTTTTATAAATTTACAACTCCAGACCCTCTTTTTTTTGTGCCCTCCCTCCCTTTCTGTCTGTGTTGGAAGTGATTTGAGGAACTGCAGGGGTGGAGTTGAATTTGAGTTTCAATGTGAGAGCTGAGTTTCGTGGGGTGGGAGTTTTGGTCAGAGTGGGGCAGGTGAAGGTTTGGTCCCTGCCGGGGTCGGGGGTGTTGGATTGTGCAGAACATGCCTCAGGTCACAGCCAGGGATGAAGTCCTCTAAAGGTTTATTCCAGGGTGTGTAAATACAAACCTTTCTGATAGCACTTATAAGTTGTGGAGATACTAGAACACTACATAAAGGTTTCAGTACAGGATTATGCAACTTTTTTAGCTTTATGGACTGGTTTTTAATTGAGCAGCTTGTGGAAGGGACTGCATCTGGCTGGAATTATGTTGATTTATTTTGTAGCAGCCTGTATGGTGCTAGGTTTTGGATTTGTGGCTAAAACTGTGGCTAACATGCCAATGGTCTGGCTACTGCAATAAAAACTGGGCTAGAAGGAGGAGAAAGAGACTTTGGCATTCAAGGCTGAGGTTGTTTGAGGGTGGCTGGGCAGTTGTCTGAGGGAGGGACTGAGCCATGCCCTTTGCTTCTTTTGTGTTTTTCTCTTTCCTTCACCTCTTAAACCAACTTTATCTTGACCCAGGAGCTTTCTTGCTCTTTTTTCCCTTCCATGCCCTGGGGATGGTGCTGAGGGAGCAGCTCTGTGGTGCTTGGCAGCTGCCTGAGGTCAGCCAACCACACCCTACCCAAAACCCTACATCCCAAGGCTGTTTTAATACAGTGAAATTATGAATCAATTTTTTAGCTCTGAGAATATTGTAAATATATGGTGAGACACCTTTCACTTGAAATTAAGAGCAGCTTTGCAGAGGAACACTAGGTATCACCAGGAATTTCTAGTAAAGAGTAGTTCCAAAAACATTTCTTGAGTTACACACAACAAGAGTTGCTTTCCAAATGCAAAATACACAGAAGTTTTTAAGATTGTATATTCTGATGCACCTGAAGAAATTTTGTTTGCTACTGCAAAGGGAATGGCATTTTCATGTTACTGGGAACAGTTTTGCCTGCTTGTATAATAAAAATTTGTGATGACTGAAGAAAGTTCTGTCCCTGGAACACCAGCACACTGTTCCATTTAATTTTGAGATAAAGTATCTGGCAGGTGCTTACTTTATATAGAAACATTATTACAAAAGGCTCCTACAGTCTTTTGAGAATCTTTTCTGCTTTCTGTTTCTCCCAAGCTTGTTTTAATGGAGTTTTGGAAACTCAGCAGAGCTTTTAGATAGGTCTGTAAAGACATTTTCTGTTAATTTCATTGCTCTTTTGCCCACAATGGTAAATTGGAGATCAGAGAAAATTCTGTGGCTTGCATCACCCTGCATCTTTTTCAAAGACATCCCATTTTCCAGTGCCCCAGTTTCTCTGGTGTATTAATGGTGTAAATGCCATTTTTATTAGGAGTATTTATGAAAATGTAAATAACCTGTATCCATGTTTCAATTATCAGTTTATTTGCTTTCCTTTAGGCAGAGTCACAGCAGAACCTGGAATTATCACAGTGGTATCCAGTTATAAAGCAAGAAGCAGAAACTGATCCTCAACCACCTTCCTTTTTCCACCCCAGGTAAATTGAGTTTCCTGTGTAGAACTGTAAGCACTGTCAAGTATTCAAATACTTTTGGCTATTTAGAGATGCTTCAAACTGAAAAATATGTATTTGCAACCAGAACTGTTAGGAAAACTCTTCAGGTATCACACAGGAATGATTTAACCCTAAATTTTTATGCATTTCTTGGTGTGAATACTAATGAACTGCTTATGAGTGTTTTTTGGTATAGGACTAAAGCTGTGACCTGTGGGTGTTCTTCAGCAGGCAATACAATTGAAATGTAATTAAAATTTCCCCTTTCTTAGTAGAAATGACAGAGGTAACTTTTGATCTTTCATATTGTAATACAATGCATGCATGTGGAAAGCTGCACAGCATCTATTTACCATGAGGACAACTTAATTTCCTTTCAGAAAGGACTTCCAAGAGGTGTTTGAAGGCTTTCTTCCACAGTGGAACAAGGGCTGCAGCTGAAGTGTCTGAGGGATGGTTTCCTGGTTTTAGAAACCAAGTGCATTTCCTGACTCCTTACCAAATTTGTCACCTGCAGCAGCAAGGGAAATGGTTTTTCTTGATACTCCTCTTGCCCTCACCCTCTGTGGTTGCACAGGTCCTGAATTTGGGTCAGAGCAGACCCTTTTTGGTGCACGCACATCACACTGGTTCCCACGTAAAGAAGGGAGTGGAGGAACTTCTGTGGTGGGCCCTCATGTTCTGTTTGTGCCAGTGCCTTCCTTCAGAACCAGCAGAAAGGGAAGTGTTGAAGGCAGCAGTTGAACTCCAGTGACACTGGTGGTCTTGGCACTGACCTGAACACACCTGGGGCTCTCTTCCCTCTGTACTGGGCTGGGTGGTGAGCTGAGGGAGGGACACAGGGATGCTCCCTGGAGTCCAGGAGCTGTGAAAAACCAAATGGGCAGCTCAGTGTACTTGGGAAGGAATGTCCAGCATTGGTCTCGGATGTGCCCCAGGCCTGTCAGAACACAGCTGCTCATTCCCACATCACTGATCACCTCCCCATCCTTCATTGCCAATATAAGGATTATGAAAATGCTGGAGAGTCTGGATTCAGTGGCATTCTAATTTCACTCTTCGCATTTAAATGAAGTTGTGATATGATTTACTGAATTTTTTTTTAATCAGCAATGTTTGGAAAATCTACTTGTTTAATAGCCTCAAAACCTTATCTAGATAATCTACTCAGTAGAGATTAAGTGGGTCGTTAGGCTTTCCTTTTGCGTAGGAAAAATTTTAAAAGGATGTGCTTATTTTTCATTGATACTTTCACAGTTTGAACTCATGTAAAATTAAACTTACTGCTCTCAACCAGCCATCATTTATTATGTCTTACCTTTCACTATGAATTTTACTCCTCTGCTGTTTTTTTCAGTTACTACCTTTACATGTGTGATAAAGTGGTTGCCCCGAATGTGTCTCTTGCATCTCAATATAAAGATGTTGCAAAAACAGCGGTAAAAGCTTCAGAAGTTAATAAATCCTCACCTGGGCAGTCAGAGAAGAAGCTCAGTAGTGGAAAGCACAAAAAATCTGCCTCCTATCCAGAGCTTTCTCTTGAAGAACAGGAAAAAATGGACTTGAAAACTGGGGTGGAGCAGCCAAATAAACGTTTAGGTGAGTAGTGAAAATTACATTGAAGGCTTTTATTTTTATACCACAGAATTTTGGAAAGCTTTACACTGAGCTAGAATTTTGTGATGTCACTTCAGCTTTCCAAAAATTTCCTCCACCTTTTTGTAACCTCGGTTTTCTTTGCATTTTTTTCACTCTGGAATTTGAACTTTCTGTGATTATTGTTCTCTTGTTTTTTTCCTGCGTAGATCCTCCTGTGTCAACTCGTTCTGTGAGAGGTGCAAAGTCTGAGCGCGTTTCTTCCAAAATCCCCAGAGACTCTGGCCGTGGGGAGGGACGTGCTGATGCACGAACCTTGTCCCCCACGCTCATGAAGGACATCAGCTGTGAGGATGACAAGGGAAGGATCATGGAAGAAGTCATGAAAACCTACATCAAGCAGCAGGAGAAGCTGAACACGATTTTGCGGAGGAAGCAGCAGCTCCAAATGGTACAGTGGCAGTCTGAGTGCATTTCCCCCTGGGCAGCAGGGAGCTGGTGTGGGCTTGCTGGCTCCACAGTCAACATCCCATCATTTAGATTGCGTCATTTAGAAACACCAGAGCATATAGATCATCTTTCTCTCAGCTTAAATCCAGACACCAAATCTTCAATATCCCTTATGCTCATGAGTTTTGAGCCCACTAATAAGTGTTGTCTCTTCTGTTTGCAGCTGTTGGGTCCAAGCAGCTCCTGCTTTTGCTGTATGCTCTAAAATATCTCAGTTTTCAGTGTTTCAAAGATGCAGATACTGGTATTCTAGGGACGATCTTATCACTGCCATGTATAAACAAGAACACCATTTTCCTATTCTTCTTTGCTAAGCCGTGCTTTTAGGGATTTTATTTTTAGTCTTTTCTTTAATAATGAATTCTTTTAGAAGCTGTGTTCATTTGTGACATTTCTGTTTTCTGAATTCAGTGAAATACTGTCTTTGCTCCTTGCATCCATGGAAGAGACCTAATATTTTAATTTATTTTATTTAAATTTAAATGTTAATTGCAGAATCTAGGAGCTCAGGTAGGGCCCTAGAGCTGCTACTTTAAAGTTGTTCTGCTGTTGGAGATAAAGCTTGTAGATAAGTTAAAAAAGAGTTTAAAAATATCAAAATGTCAGTGGACAAAGAAATAAAACACTTCATTTTGTTTTCTGATGCTACAGTTCTTGCATCTTCGAAGTATATTTTAGTGAATCAGTGCTGTTGCTTCCTGAGGTTCACTGCTGAAAATGCAAATTTGTTTCTGAAAGCTCTGTGTACTTGGAAGTAGAAGTAATTTCTTAAAAATTAGTTGCATGTTACAGAATTCCATGCTGTCATTGATAAGTAGATAAATACCATTATAAGGCTGTTGTTATTGGTAGTTACAAGTGGTCTTTTTGGCCTCAGTGGTTCCAGAAACACTTTTAAATTGAGTTTTTTTATTTTTCTGGTGTTAGAAGGAAGGAGTATGTGATCTTGATCTTTGTTTACAGGAAGTGGAAATGTTAAGCAACTCTAAAGCTATGAAGGAACTGACTGAAGAGCAGCAGAATTTACAAAAAGAACTCGAGTGTTTGCAAGCAGAGCATGCACAAAGAATGGAAGAATTTTATTTTGAGCAGAGAGACTTGGAGAAGAAACTGGACCAAGTGATGAAGCAAAAATGTAGCTGTGACTCCAATTTGGAAAAAGATAAAGAAGCTGAATATGCAGCACAGGTGAGAAGGGAAGGTTCATTTCAAACACAACATGTTTAGTGTATCAGGAAATTGTGAAGGCGTTATTCAGCCACCTTAAGGTCTCGTTTTCTTTGTGTGTTCTGCCACCACAGACAGATACCAAAATAGGTCAGTGACAGCAATATTTATTTTCCTGTTCCTTGATTGAATCTGAGGTAGATTGTAACTTACAGAAACATATTATATTATAGATGAAATATTTACACATGAGGTTTGTTACATCCTCATTTAAAACAAATTCTGTTTTTAATGTATATAGGCTTGCCCATGATACAGACTTAAACATTATTTTTATTTTATGNAAAAAAAAAAAAAAATCCAAACCTCTGAACCTTCTTTTGGTCAGATTAGCAGCATACCTTGCTGCTCCTCATGTTCCTTGCTGGTAGAATCTTCTGCACTATCTGAGAAGCCCCTTCTGGGCTGTAAAAAGACATTTGGCCAAGCATTTTCTTGGAAATGAAAACCATATTGGTGTCTCTCATTCTTGCCTTTTGGATTCATATGTCAAAACCTATGGAGTTGTTTTTTCTTCTCACTTTCCTTTTAGCTTTTATTATTGCTTCTTTACGTTGGAGGTTATTCCAATGGGAAAAAATACAGTTAATGATAAAGGGAACCTTGGAATTCCCCTTTGAAAAATCAGCTGTAGTTATGATTAATTTTTTTTTTTTTGCACCGTATCACAGGTTTATTAACAGGCTTATTTTTAAAGTGAACAAAATCTAAAACTTGAGCTCAGTAGAGCTCTGTGGTGCTTTGTTCATAACTGTGTATATTTCCTGTTCTGACTAACTCAAACTGAGAAACAGGCACTACTTGAGAGACAGGTTTTGGTATTTTTGGTGAGTAGGGCAGAGACTCGCATTGTAAAATCCTTCTCATGAATTTAATTTCATGACATCCCACTCCACTGATTCCTGGCCTCTGCTGCCAGAAATAATCCTCTCTGACTAAGGCCTGATTTACTAAACATCTGGTACAAGCCCTGTTAGTGCAAGTAACAACGTGTTCTAATTTAGGGAGATCATCATGTACAGCATGTTTTATAGGGCTTGTGCAGCTTACTCCCTTTGGAGGGTGAAAATTGGTTGTGTGTTCCTTTTGAAGTCAGACTTTGAAAACTACATACATTCCTTGTGAAAAAGTTTGCTCTGTTATTACCTCTGTGGTAGATCTATTCACAGTATATAATTTGAACCTTTTTTTTTTCTATTTGTCACATCTTGCAGTAGATTCTGGTTCCAAGAAGCACCAGAGTTAAACAGAAGTCTTGGGAACAGAGAACTTCCCCAAGCTGTGTATACAGCATTTTAAAAAAGCCTTAATCTGATGTGCTCTTGAAGCAGTTGCCTTTTCTGTCTGAGAACTGTGGACTGGGAGGAACTCTCCTTGTGCATTAAACAGAATTAGGAATTTGGTATTTGCAGCTTTCTAGGCCTGTCTGAATATGCACTGTCTTGTCCCCCTTTTTGACTTCTTTATTGCAACAGTTGCTTCACCCTGTCAGTCACAGTAGGGCAGAATAACCAGTCCTGGAACCTTTCCTTAGAGCTGGAAATCAAAGCCACAGACGTGCTGCAGCATGCAGGCAGTGGGCACTGTTGCACTGCAGCACTTCACTGCATCACTTGTGCAGGCAGGACTTGCATTAACAGCCTGTTGTTGGCTAAGAACTGCTGAAGTATTTCTGATTAAAGAAGTGGGGATGAAATGTGGTGTTTCTCTAAAACCAGCCATTCCTTCACCCACTGGGTTCTGAATTAGTTGGTGAACACCAGTAATACCCTGTGTGTTCCTGCTCTTTCCTTCCATGAGCTGTCTTCCTAATTCTCAGTGAGAGGGATGCTTAGTGATGATGTACCTCAGGTAGATACCTGTAATTATAAAGGCAAATGTTTTTTTTTTTTTTTTGTAATGGAATGAGGTCTTTTAGTAAGAAATAACCCCTAGATCAATGGGAGAGAGAATAGCTGCTTTCCAGTCTCCTCCCTGTTTTAACTGTTGGTACTATAAGTAATAAGGAACTTGCCCACACTTGGAAAGATGTTTCCAGATGTCCCTGTAAATAATTTTAGTGACATTCTAGCAAGTTGTAGCCTTGCTGTATTTCAAAGAGAAAAAGAATACTCAATTTCAGTGTTTAAACACAAAATATATCACAAAAACATTTGTGTGGCCTTAGGTTTATATTTGAACACACACACACACACACACACACACACACACACGGTTATGTTCAAGATTTCCTGAATATTTCATTTCTACTAAGGAACATCAGAAAACAGTGTTGTTGGTTTTGTTTCTTTAGAAATACATTCAGGCTTTGAAATAAAGAAGTAGTATATTGTCAGGTAAGAGAAATGGACTTGGGAAATGAAAAAATGCAGTTTGTTCTGGGATTTGTGACACATCCAATGCAGACATCATCACAATTTTTCCCAACAGATTCTGTGTGTTATTGACAGTTCGGTATGACAGTTCATACAGATAAAATTTACATGCATTTAAAAATTAGATTTTCTCATTTTCTAAATTATAGTATGATGTTTATGATACTTTGCACATTGATATTGTTTGCTAATGGTGTAGCAGGTAAGTGATAACTTCATAACTGCATAATTCTGGTGGACTGAAATACTTGGATGCATAGAGTGGCCATCTGTGACCCTTTGACATTTGCTAAAATTTACTCTGCCTCTGTGTCTCTTGTGTTTCACAGCTGGCAGAGTTGAGGCAGAGGTTGGATCATGCAGAGGCAGATAGACAAGAGCTCCAGGATGAACTGAGACAGGAACGAGAGGCCCGGGAAAAGTTGGAGATGATGATAAAGGAATTGAAGCTACAGATCCTGAAATCTTCAAAAAATGGGAAAGGAAAATAGAAATTGGAAGAGGAAGCATGACTGTGTCCTTCAAACAGGGTGTTTTGGTTTTCATGATTGTGAACAATTTTTGTGTGCTGAGAAAAAGTGTTCTCTATGGATTTCTATCTCCCAGACAGGTCCAGATCAAGATATACATAGATATAAATAAATAGAGATAGACATTTTTAGATTTTCTTAGCCAATGAAAATCTGCATTGATTTGTACTGGTGTTTTTTTCAAGCAATGAAAAAATACGAAACTCTTGATTTAGAGTGACCAGTTTCTGTCTATTTCTAATGCAGTCTTAAGGACTCTACACCCTTTAACACTGTCTGTTAAAACATATGTGGGTATCTTTATTTTGCTATCAATTGCACATCCAGTTATAAAAGTACATTTAAAATATCCTCAATTCTTCAAAGTCTTAAATAGTTTGGGTTTCAGTATTCTTGAACTGAGGAAAGTAAAGGCAGCTTTTTGTCTGTAAGGCAGAGCTCAAAATTGCCAGAACTGATTGTTGATTGAGTATCAAAAGTGATTTACCAGCATGAGTTTTTCCCATAAATTCATTATGTGAAGTCAGCTGATCTTTTCAGTATTGTCTGTTTAACAACTCATTATCAATCTAAGGAGTGTTAGAGCCAGCACTTTCTTGCTCTGCTGGAAAAGGAAAACATTAGGGGTTGTTTTTTTTATTTTGGTTTGGTTTTGTGAATTAAAAAATTTGCAATTACAGTGGAATCTTGGGAAGTTAAAAATTTACAAGGTTTCTTCTGTTTTCTTCTAGTACATATGAAAGAAACATTAATAAAAGGCTTGAAGGTGGGGCTTTTCCTTTTAGAAACTGAGAAAGTTTGATTTAACTGTTTTTCAGATATTGATGCTTTCAACAAAAATAATATTTATTAAGGAATATATATTAATTTCTTCAGTACCCTAAGCCTCTACACTTCAAGCTTCTTGCCAACTTGTGGATTTTTCTTTCAATACATAGAACAGGCCTTAACTGACATTGTGATCATAGCTTAAAATATAAAATTCTGAGGTATGGCACTTTGAAAAATCATTTTGATAGTCTCTGTATTTGAATGACATGGTGGGGTTACCATGAATTAAGAAAATACAGCATGTTTGTTAAGCTATAACATTGGGAAATGTGTAATTGTACAGAATTACTGTTTTATGTATATATATAATGTCTGAGTACTTCTGAAGTTTGGTTCCTAGTGGGTTAAATGCATGGCTAAAGTTGGATGAAGAAAAACTTTTTTGCACTTCTCTCCAAAAAATTGGATACAGCTGGCAGATGTCAGCTGGTCATGTCAGTGATAGGAATATTTTAGTAATTCTAGTGTTTCATTACATAATTTTAACTTGTACTTTTAGTTTCTGGTTTTGAGGTACTTAAATTTAATATTCTCAATAACTCAGTTATTTTTGGATGAAACCACTAGTAAAAGCCTACATTGATTTTTTTCCCCCTCCTCAATAAGTAAAACAGAAAAATCTTTTTTGCTTCTCTGTTTGTGATATAACAAGAATGAATATCACAGAGAAAGATAAAATTGCACATATTTTTAAATTTAATGAGAAATGAGGTGGTGAATTAAATGTCACAGAGTCATAGGATGATTTTTTAATAACTGTACAATTTTGTCTATGAGCTCTGTGTCATGTTTACACTGACAAGGTTAGATGAAAAAAAAATTTCTTTGTCAGTGTTGAGAATCATAGAATGGTTTGGGTTGGAAGGGATCTTAAAGATCATCTAATTCCACCTCCTCCTGGAAAAGAATACCAGGATTATATTTTTCTCTTTTTCAGCTTCCATCTCCAAATTTTTCCTTTGGAAAAAAAAACCAACCTAGTAAAAAA